GCACTCTATCAAATGTCTGGCCAAATGCAGAGCAGTTTGCAATCATTTCTGGCCCAGAAAACAACTGACTAATCAAATGGCATCTTGTTTGCTAAGTTGACTCCAACAGCAGTGTTGTCTCAGAGGAAATATCCACATATCATGACTCTGTCAGCACTTCCATCAAACTGGGGATCTGTTCCCCATCCCTTGCAAAGCAACTGCATTAATGATGTAGTAGAGGAGAATTTATCAGCATCTTATTGTGTCCACCATCTTCCCCATGCACTGAAGGAGCAAGTGCCCTACATGTCACAAGGAAGGTTGTAGGACCCCAAATAAAATCAATCAGTACTCTGAGATTTCTGCCCTCAGTGTCCCAACAAACAGGAACAGTGCCTGCTGCCATGTCTTCCCATGACCTCAGCCCCAGCGTGTCCTCCATGTAATACCTCTCAAGGAGAGCTGAGTGACTCTTCTGGTTTGGAATACCAGCAGACACTGCTGGGGCTTCATCTGAGCTGAATCAAAGCACACGCATTCAAAATGTGCTAAGCCCTATAAAAGCAGGGAGGAGGTGGTCCCGAATACGTTCTTTGTAGCATCAGCTAAATGATAATTTGGAGCTGTTGTCCCTTCCCCTTTGCTGGGTTATCTTGAGAAGACAAAAGCCAGAATTCTCACAGAACTTATGATTACTAGTGAGTTTCCAAGAGCAGAACTCAAAAATATCTAAGGAAAAAAAATCCAGTCATAAAATATTCTCTAATCCCAATTTCCTGAAAAATAAAGTCCCTGCCCTCTAAAAAACTGGGTGCCTCACAGTATCTTTGGCAGGATTTCCAAAATCACCTTCCAAATATGTAAACCTTGGGATGGATGTCCTCTATGCAAGGCTAAAATGGTGGATTATTCTCTTATGTTCATACAAATATGTTAATAAATTTATTTCAGGCATAGTTAGGGGCTCAGCCTATGCATTCTGGAGAGTTTGTACTGAAATTAGCAGAAGCTTATAACTCTTCTGCTGAGGAAAAGTGGACTGACTCCTTATGGGGAGATAGGTTGAAGCTCAGCTGTGCCTGCTCCCCCTTCCAGGTGGAGGGATTGGTAGGAGATGGAGGACAGCTGAACAGTGGGGCTTTCCTATAAAAGGAGCATGCTGGGAGAGGAGTTTCTGAAGGTAATTTGGGGATGGGGTGAGAGCATGTAGCTGATATTATGTGCTAGGGAAATGATGGGCTGCAGTAAAACTTTAGTGCTGGTTTAGAGATTAAGCATCAGAAATTCTGCTTGTGGTTCAGGCTGTTGTTTAAGGCTAGTAAAGCAGCTGTTAGGAAAAAAGGAGAAGTAGATGTATTTGGCAACTACTTATTACAACTGGTACTGTGTAGGGGAAGGGGAGCAAAGCAATGCATAGTCTACTCTCAGGAAAGAAAGAATTCTTTGTTGGGTGGGGAGTTATATTTTGCCCTTCTCCGTTGTTTCCATCTCTCTTCTGGGATTAGGTATACTCTGGCTAGTGTGAAAGAAAAGCTTTTAGGGTCTAACTTTGGGAACCTGAAGCAATCCTGAGGTGCCAGAGCCTGTTTTTCTGACAGTTTAGAGTCCCCTGCCTTTGAGGGAAGCAGTGCCTTTGTCTCTGGCCTTACATGTAATAAAGGCCTGTGAAACTCTCCTGATGATGATGTGGCAGTCTGACCTCCTATGTGATATTTCTCTGCTTGTTGCTGTGATATCATTAGGGTCTAGAAGTTTATGAATTAGTTCTGGGCACGTAGCTGCTATTTTGAGTGCCTTTGTGCCCTTTTCCAGAGATGTATAAGAGCTTTGTTTCTCAGGTCTCTGAATAACTTAATAGTTGATCTGTAGGCTCTCCCCTGTGCTAGAGCAGGTCATCTGCAGGGTCCCTTTGGCCAAGCCAGGAACAATTCTCAGCTGATGACCTCACAGATACTGGGGCGGAAGGGCAGAGCTCACGAAGCATCATCTGAGGAGCTGGAGGCTGAGGCCACCCTTTGGTGAAGTCTGTCCCTGAGCTGCTCCCTTGGCTGGGTGATTTCAGCCTTAGCGGGTGTTTGTGTGCTGGCAGTGCCTCATCAGGTCATTTCACTTAAGTAACCCCTTGCTCCTCCCATGCCGGAGCATGTGGGGTGTGCATCAGTCAGCTGTTTTCCTCATCGCCTGGCACCGGTCTTATCACTCATGAAGTTTACTGTTCTTGGGTTTCTGTGGTCAGCCAAAGATTCAGCAACTTTCTGGTGCTTGCAGACAAACAGAAAATCTAGCACTTTTGTTAGTGTGACCATGTCCCTGGGGTGGTTGGCAGGATGCCCTGTCTGAGGGAAAATGACAGATGTTTGATCTTCAGTGTCCACGGAGAATCTTACTAGATCTAAACAGCTATCATATCTCCTCTGATATCTGAAAAGCAGATATCTTAGACGAAAGGCTTCCAGTGGCTACATCATCTGCTGTTTCATCACTAAGCAAATAAACTCATTGCAAATCTTTATATTACTTAATAATGTCAAATTTTTAAAAGCATTTTGATCTGAAATTGACTTTTTTTTTTTCCTCTATCTGCAAAAACATCTTAGGCAAGAATGCAGATCAAACAGGCCTTAAGATGGTTCAAAACCAACTGATTTCCCAAGCCTCTGGCCATCTAGGACAGGTCCTTTTACTCTTTTAATGGGTGCAGCTGTATCACCCAAGCTATGGCAGGGGTGTGTGGCATAAGGCTCAGTGAGGTGGGGATTAATCCCTGTGAAGAAGGAACATGGCCAAGGGCCATGGGATCTGAGAAATAAAGCTCTCCTATGTCCCTGGAAGAGGGCACGAAGGCACTTAAAATAGCAGTTACATCCCCATAAGGGCACGGCTGAGGTTGCTCAGTCAGTCAGTGGCAGAGTAGGAATGAGCATCCGAACTTCTTGAGCTCCAGTCCAGTTCATGTTTCATGCACCAGGTGGAAAAAAAAAAAAAAAAATATCCTCATGAGACTGACAGATGGAAAGGGGATTTGGGAATTTCTACCCTGTTGGTGGAGGAGCTGGTGTGTTCACCTTGTTGCATATAGGCCCAGACAGGAGACACTTCTCTGAGGGGAGGGAGTGGATGACACTAGGATTTAACTTGTGTAGGTGTATTGTTTAATTACTTCATACAGGTTCCCTCACCCACTCCATCTGCACTGTAATTAATTTAATTCCTAAAGTGATGAGATTTAATCTTAAGGTTCTTGCTGGCTCCTTTCCAGCAAGTCTGGTGATACAGCTCTGGAGAACTCTCACTTCATACCCTATGGCTTTCTAAATATCACCCAGCCAGACAGAGGTGGCATCTGCTTGGGTTGCTGGAAGCAGTGGTTTGGAAGCTTTAGAGGACACTGGATCTATACCATCAGCTACCCTGCTTGCTGATGAACAGGGGCAGGTAGAGGGAGAGGCATATTGCTTTCTGAAGCAGGAAGACTTCTGCTTGAAGAGTGGAGATTTGACAATGCTTTGGCATGGGTAGAGAGGATTGGAAAGGAGTCCCTTTAGCTTTACAGCTGCTGACATCCCACAGGCTTTCCTTAAAATATGAGGTAGATGTCAAGTGTCAAAGCTAAGCAAAGTTTTCAGGACTGTCTCAGCAGGATTGACATCACCTGTGTTTCACACAGATGAAAGAGATAAGAGGAAAAAAAGGAAAGCAAGCTTTGAGAACTTTGAGTGAGTAAAAATTCATGACTAATATCATTAAAGCAGAGCTGAACCAGCTCACTTTCCCCCTGTTCTTCGATCACACCCAATTCGGCTTCTTTTACTTGGGCAGTATGTGGGCTCAGGAGGTCCCACAGGTTAGGAGACTTTCTTTTGCCCTCAGAATGAGGTGTTGGGCACAAAAGTGAAGCACTTAGTTGTCTGCCTGAGCAGGCAGGTGACAGTGGGAAGTCAGCTGCTGTTTGCAAATGTTTGCTGACCACAGCTCACTGGGGGTGCCAGATCCAGCTGCCTGAACCCAGAAAGTTCTCAAAGCCAGGATCTCATCAGTGATGACAATGGTGAGGGGGGGGAAAACACTGGAAAAACTCTGCTCCAGGACTTAATAAATCATGATGTTACTGATATCAGTGTGCTGGGATTGAAGGAGTTACTGGAGACAACAGGAAATATGCTCACCAAGCAGAAAGTTTTGCTTGAGTGGCGTTTCAGCTAGGCGTGTGTTAACACCATGCTTATGTACTCATACTCACAGAGGTCAAGTGTGCATGTGAAATTTCAGTGATCACTCCAGTGATCATTCTGGAACACCACCAGAAAATCTGGAAGGAAGTTGTACCTGTCAAAGCCTTTGTTTCTTTAGTTTAATCATGTCAATCATGTTTTGGATAGATGGTTTTGAAAATATAACCCAGTGTCAAGAGGCTGCATTTGATTCTCAGCTTTGCCATGAATGCTTTGGGCTGCCTCTTGCGTGGCAGCTCTGTGCCTGCATCTCCATATGGGGGGTTTTCTGTCTCGGGCTATAAACTCTCTGGGGTAGGAGCTGCAAGACTGTGTGATCTGGCTGAAGCCTTTCAGCATTTACATAGAATGAGTGCTTCACAGAGGATGAGGCTGTTGGTAGTTATTAAAAATAAAGGTCCAGATATAATCTGACTGTTCTTCTATAGGTCTCTAAGTATCTGCTGCTGGCTGTGGTTAATCAGAGGATGCTTTTGGCCTGACTCAATAAAGCTCGTTTTGTTGCAATAGTTATTCAAACAACCTCACATTCTTTTTATAGATGGAGAAATCTGTCTGTTCCTTAAGTGGAGGTACAGACTTGACAGCCCTGGAGAGATGGGAATGCAGGTTACCTGGAGGCAGATTGAGGGGGAGGTTTACACGATAAAAGCGGTGGGTCTCATTTTTTGCAGCAGTGTGACTTGCAACACTGGTTGTTTTTCTGCATTAGAAGTGCTGAGTCTGCATAGTTTCTCTGGACATCAGTGATCGGTGGCAGCCATGAGGCATCAGCTATGGAGGTGCTTTAGAAAAATAGCAGACTCGAGCAACAACCCATGTCTGCAGAGTGATGAAGTGGCAGAGTTGGGTCTGACAGTCCATGGTCCCCAGCTGTTCACTGAAGCACGCAGAGAAGACAATGTGTGGGTGATGAAGCAGACTGGTTAGCTGGTTTTTACATGGGACCTTCTCCCTTTGAACAGATCTTGCCCTTACAAATGGGCACGTGATTCCTTTCAAGTCCCTCCGCAGGGATATATCTGACTGAATTTCCTATAGCACATTTCAGAAGGAAGATATTTCCCACAGCCACCAATTCCCTCTGTCAAGCAGTGGCAAGGATTTCACTGGGATTTCAACAGACTATTTCATGGCTAGTGGTTTGTTTGGTCAAAAAAAGCTGTCCTGTGCTAACACTGACTGTCCTAGCTGAGCCTGCAGGTCCCACCGTGAAGAGGTATGAGTGTCACACTGTCTTTAGCATATTTCTCCCAAACAGGTGGTGCAAATTCCTTTTTCTTTCATAGAGGATAGTGTTAGGGGAAAACACAGATTACAACCTCTATTCCTTAAAATGTCTTTTATTCATTATCTGCTGTTGTTAATAGAATCAAGCTGTTATTAGTAATAGCAGGTAACTATTCACATAACACACCGCTCATTCATGTTCACTTATTAGCTGAAGGAACTGTTGGGAGGCCAACCCCAATGTGCACACTCAGAAACAGAAGGTCATCCTGATGCACCACTGGCTTCTAGGTAGGTCTTTAAAAATTCCTTCAGAGAGCACTTTGTTTTACCAGCTGTATACATAACTCTGTATTCTTCACCTGCATATAGCAGCCACTGCCCTCCTGGGTGTGATCCAAGTTATACAACCTGTTGTAGATGTTGATGTGTGCTGGCAGCCTTGTACAGCCCTAGACTGGTGGCCTAAGTTTATCCATTCATGAGAATTCATCAGGATTACTTGTCTTCAAAGCTTATTGGTCTTTGGGAACTTTCACATAGTATCTTCTTAGCATATATCCTTCTTGTCTTTGGGCTGTGATGTTTTCTGGCAACTATTTCTCCATCTCGATCTATAGAAGCACATAGAACTTAAACACACAAGCTTGTATAATGGGTGCTTCCATGATACCAAGAGGGTGCTTATGATAGCGCTTTACTGGGGTGGTGGAAGACATATGTCCTTGGCAGAGTATGTGATATTGTGGCATGAGGTGGGCTCAAATTCATAGGGAATAAGCTGGCTGGATCAGTACGTGGTCACACCGACACCATCAACTTTACATGGATGGAGTCAACATTTACGTACTCCCACTGATCTAAGAGCCTATACGTGACACGGAGAAAGGCTCCCTGCCACAGCTCTCCTTTGTGTTTTGCAGACTGTTTGGGGTGTGCCCCTCCTCTGCTATTCCCTGAATCTCTCTATCCATAGAGATGTAATTCTCTTCCCATTTTAAAGTGTGTGCTTGGGTTTGTGACCAACTGTATGACCAATCTTCCTGTCTCCCCTTTTGATCAAAACTATTCAGTTATACCCTTTAGAGATATATAAACATGTAACAAGTTCAGGTAGACCAATTCTGGTTCCTGATTTTGAAGAGTATCCATGGACTTTTGTCCTGTCTCAGCATTTCTGTCTTCAGGACATTCCTTCTACCATGTTATGGACTTGCATCTGGACATATTGAGGTTTTTCCTGGTGGTCCAGCTGTCTTATATATGGAGCAATGACCTCCTCCAATGATAGCTGTGTTGCAATGCCCAGCCTGACTGCTGGTGAAGAACAGAGTTCCTTGCAGACTCTAGAAGAGTTAAGAGGAACACTGTAACTGTGTGGCACCCCGCAGCTAGAAAATTACACCTCTGCCCTATATGGGAACGTAGCAGGGCGGGATGGCTCAAGTTTTCAAACCAGGAGAGCGCTCTCTGGGATCTTAGCCATATGGCATGCTGTGCTGGTTACTGTTGAATAGGTTCGCTTGGGGCTTTCCTATACATGTGGTTAATGAGAAAGTCTACTCCTTCAGCAGGTCTCAATTAGTCTGGCTCCTTTGTGAGCAGCACTGGCTCAGTCTGCTAGCTTCATTGATGGTTTTGGTTGGCTTTCCCTGGTTTCGCTCAGCCGAGTCTTGGTCTGCTGCTGCTCAAAGAGGAAATACCTTTGCTGGCTGCACAGCAAGGGTCTCCAAAGAAGTCTGGGCTGTAGTTGGTGTGTAACTAGCAAGCCTGAATTTAGTGCCAGACAGAAAGCCTGGAGAAAGGAGTGTTTACCATCTTGGATGCCCACACTGGAGGAAACAGGTGAGTGCTCTGAAACTCTTCTTACTTCCAGCCCTGCATTTTCCCCTCCATGGAGTCTGACCCTCCAAAGAGATCCCTGTCCTGAGCAGCCAAAGTGGCTGGTAATAAGGGTTGGGTAAAGGGACACTGTAATAGAGAATTCAGTGGGCTTCTGTTCACCATTACATAGGCCCTTCCCTACTTCAGAATCCCTCAGGTCCTTGTTCCCCATCTTGCCAGGAAGGCCGACTTTCAGTGTGACCGGGGCAGGCAGTGGGGAGAGGACCCAGTTGGTCCGATCTGCCAGCAGCCCGACGTTCTGACCCTTGTCATGGTCAGCTGTGGGGGAACCAGGAGGCACAGGGGGGGATCTGACTAGTGTAAGCAAGAAAACAGAATCAGCTTTTAAGAAAGAACCAGAATGGAGAAACACTCTGAATGAAAAATTTCAATTTTGGAGGGGAAAATTGAGAGGGTTTTGCTGCTGTGCTTGACAGCTAGCTGTGTAGCTATTACCTGTGATGGTGGAGGTGAGGTTGGCAGGTGTGTAGGTTAGCATACATTGCACATCTTTACATTGCTGGCATTTTCTTTTAGGTTTCAAAAGCATTCAGAAGTCCCACTCAGAACTATAAATTTAAACCAGATGGTGGTTTGTGGTTTATATGATAAAAAGTATAAACCATTAGGAAAGTGTGAAAAGGCCATGCTGACATGTCAGTAAGGAAGAGTCACTAGCTATGGAGTTAAGTGTTTCACAAAGCCAGGTTTCTTACTCAGCTTATTACAGAACTGTTATTTGGGAAATCAGAGGCATGTGAAACCCTTATTGACAGACCGTGATCTGCATGGACTTTGCTGGGGGGCTGAAGGTGCCAAGCACCTTCTCTTTTTTTTATTTGTTTATGTCACTGGGATGGACACCCTGCCAGCCATGACAACTGTGACATTTGTTATCTGTCATGTCATTAACTGGAATTAGCTTTCACCCCCATTTCCCTGCTGGGTCAGTCAAACAGCTCTTCAACAGCCAGGTTATTTCTCAGCCTCTGCTGTCTGTTTCTTGGAGATGATACTCTCATAATCACTATCTTGCAGTAAGAACAATTTTGTATCAGTGTCCCCATATCCCCCAACACTAAGAGCTGCCCAACCCTGTCCTCTCAGCCACGGAAAAGCTATTTCCAAATACAGGAGGAAGGAAGCACTTTTTCAGTTGTTATAAATCTGAGCTTTTACTCAAGGTGCTTTATCTATGCCAGCTAATCTAGAGTGTCTCAGTATTTTTCACTGAGGATGGGAGGAATTATCTTTAAGGGGGTGGATTAGCTTTAAGCTAACTCACTTTCTAAGGTAGCATTGCTCTCTTTTACTGCTGCACTGGGGCCCCCTCATGACCAGGAATGGCTTCTTTTCTCCCCAGTAGCCTTTTACAGAAAGGAAGCAAGTGAATTCAATAGGCTAATGTGCACTGAAGTGGGGTTTGCATGAAAGATGCAACACTTGCTCCCAGCCTGACCTTCTAAATACTTACTATTTGATATGCCTTGAGCAGTCCTATGCATTTAAACATGGCAGTGAACAGCAATCACATTTTTAAGTATGTGTGTGGTACTACCCTTTGTGCTAGAGCTGATGATGTGAGGCCAGGAAAGCTATTTGTCCTACCTCTTGGAGACCAGAGAAAGTCAGAGGCCATTGACACTGATACCATACGCTATGCCCAGGCAAACATTTGGGTTAGAAATATCTGTATGTGCTGGCTGTATGGAAGGGAGGTGTATCTTCATTATGCAACTAAAGGGCAAAGAGACTGTCCTTAGCATGCACTGAGCTGAGTTCGCCGGTGCCCCAGCTCAGCAACTGTGCTGCTGGGCAGCAGACCAGGGCTGGGCAGGAGACAGAGAAGGGTTTCTCTGGATAAATGGAAATCTGTTACAGCACAACATGATACTGGGGCTGAACAAAAGTAACTCAGCAGGGCCGGGAAAATTCAGCTGAGCTGGTTACTGACAAAGACGTGTCAGGTAATTAGTGATCCTTGCAGTATGTCCTGTACCCGCTCAGGTAGAAGAAGGAGCTGACAGTAAACATGCTTCTAAGGAATGAAATGTGTCCAGTTCCCATGGCAGAAACATTTATTATTAGTCTGTGCTGTTCTGTTAGCTCAAGACATCCAGATGAGGATTTAGGCATAGAACAAACCAGACATTAGGAGAGCTGTACCTCAACCCATCAATCATTCAAAAGCATTAAGTATTTAAATGTGCAGTTAGATCTGATTTGAGTCTCTTGAGAGAAAAACCTGTGCACGGACCTCCTGGGAAAGGGCGTTTTAGTTTGTCATTCAGTGTCTCTCATTGCAGAGGAGTTTGGTTCTGGCAAGTGTTTCTGCAGCAGCAAAAGACAGGATGCTGTTCTGCTCTGGTTTTCCTCAAAGGCTGAGGGATGGCCTGAGAATCTGCCTTGTGAGCCTCACAGAAACAGGAACAGCTGAACTCTAATCAGAGCGGGTAAGACAGAAGGTTTCTACCATGGCCATTTGGGTTATAACTTCCCTAACCACACTCTGGCTTCCTTGTGCTAGATGTGGAATGTGAAGACTTTCCTCTACAGAACACAGCAGAAAAATTGAGAAGGAGGAAAGCAGCATCTGTGCCACTTTCTGGAGGATTAGAAGACCTGTCTGGTATCATGCAAGAAGCCAGCGGCAGAGTGGGAACCAAATAAATGCATTAATAGTGACTCAGACCCCAGGCTGGAACAGCCCAAGGGGTATAAAACTGCATCATCCTTCTGACCAGCTGAATTCCACTGAGGGGACATCTTGCCAGCAGAAAATGTGGTCATTGTAATTGAAACACTGCCTGAAACCAGAAATATCATCTTAGAGGAGAAAAACTATTCTGGCCATTTTGAAATGTTCTGGTTTGGTTATTTTCAAAATGAAATGTTTCTAGCTTTTGCTTGGAAAAGACTTTGCAGCTCCATTTGTGTGCAAAGATGATTATTTATGTATATGGTGATGGAAGGAGTCAAACCAAAAAGGAAGGAAGGAAAACACTGTTGAGGCTGAAAGAGAGAACTGCCTCATGAACAATCAACCAGATAAGACAGCTGGGAGAACGCAGCCTTTTGTCTGTCTTCAGATAAATCCCAAAAGACTGGGAAGTTTTTCCTTTGATTTCTCACCTTTCTGAATCCAAAGCTAGTATAATTATACAGATAATTTCTGTGGAACAAAAATTTCCATTTTTGATGCTCCTCTAGTACAACCGCTTATACTCTGCCTGCACATGACTCAGCCTAATTGGTGTTGGAGAGACTAGAGACAAAGAAAAATCTCATAAACACAGAAAATAAATCCCACACAGATATTAAAACAAAGCTAGTGCATTGTTAGTAGTGAATCTAAAGAGCCTTGATATTTCCTGAAAACTCCCATGTGGCTGCAATATCTTTCACAACATCACTCCCAGCATGTTATGTGGTCATTAGTCCGAAGAACATACTCATTCATTTATGAGTTTGAGATGGGCTTGTTAGTCAGGAGTGGCAAACTGAGTTATGAGCTTCATTCCCAAAAGATTCAATATTTATTGTGTGCCATCAGATATCTTGATAATTTGATGGCTGGACTTCTCAGAAACTTGGAGTATTAAAAACAAAGCCTGGGGGAAATGAACTGGAAGATCTGGTAGGAATGACATGGAGGAATAGGAGTACTGCCTCCAGAGCTAGGTGGGACCTGGTGCTGTGACTCCAGCCCTCTGTGTCCCCATGCTGTGGCAGGGGCCATCATGAGAGCAGAATTTAGAGCAGGGTAAGTACTGGCAACTACTCCTTGACCCACTGTACCTGCCTGACAATGGTGTGAGACTTCCAGAGGAAGGCTTCATACCAATGGACCACCCTGCTCCATGTCAAGTTCTCCATCAGTGACAACTAGAGAGGCTGTTTAGGGAGGGCCTGCAAGCCTGGGGGCTATTTGAGGTCTGATCCACCCAGATCTGTCTCCACAAACCTTTTGTGTTCATGTGTGTTAGAGGGCACATCTCCCCTTTTACCATCTGGCTATGGACCTTGTTTACTGTGAATCTCTCTGAACCCTCTGCAGACCAATTGATCCTGTTTGCTGCCATGACATCCTATGGGAACAATTTCCAGAAGTTTATCACCTCCTGAGTAGAAAAACAAAAGTGCTCTTCTCTGTCAAACACATCTAAAATTTTCCAGTTTCATGTTTCCAGCAATTCTTGGGGCATTTTGAACCTCCTTAGCTCTGAACAAGGAAGCCGAGTCACAGACGAGAGCCACCAAGATGCCTCAGCTGACATGTTTCTTGCTCTGAGCACTCAGAGCTTGCGCTTTCATCGGTCACTGCTGGAGAGTTGAAGGCTCTGCTTATTAAAATCCAGGTGTGGAACTCACTGTACCAAACTCGTAAATCTAAAAGACAGGCATCCAGCAACTAATCCAGGTGTCTGTATATAGAAGTTACAGAGGCACCACCAGCAGATGATTCATCCTTTTCTAAAACAGGTATCTGATTGCTGCTGTGAGTCACTGCGGGAACCGCCTTCCTGTCTCTCTTGACTCCAGAGGATGCTTATTTAACCAGAGTGGATTTCATACATAAGTTTAAAATTGCTGAAGTTAGTTGAAACCTGCCCTCACCATCTTCGACCTGTGAAAAGAGACACCTGAAGTCTAAGTCATCTTGGAAGAATTTTGGCTGAAGGGGGATAGTGGGCTGGTGAGTGCAGGGTAGCCTGATGCTCTGTCACCTGCTTGAGGTGGGAAAAACATCCTGACCTCAGTCACAGCCGTAGTCTTTCAGGGCTTTAAAATTAATTATCTTGGTTTTCTAACAATGTACTTCCCAGTGGTCAGCCATGAATGATGTATCTAAGCATTGTTTCTTTGGGATTCAGGGTCAGGCCCGATCTATTTTAGGTGATAAAATGGCAGTTAAATGCATGATACTTGGATCACCAGTGTTTAACTAGGCATCTGAAAAAGACAAGGAAGAAGAGCAATATTATGATTGTGTAAATCTCCTCCTGTTTCTGAATGTTAAAAATCACATAGCAGGTGCCACTAGAATTGGGTGATTAGCTTAGAAACCATTAATTTTATATATCTGCGTAAATGTGTCAGAATGTGAAACTTTTCTGTAGATGAAGGGACAAATATTTATGATCATTTTGCCAAAATGACAATTTCGCTTAGTCAGCTTATAAAGTGACTGAAGGTCACAGGCATTTTCAAAAGTGATAGGCATTTCTTCACTTTGAGTGCTAAAGACCAGGGTTTTTTAAAAAGCTATTTTAGGAGAACTGAAAAAAAAAAAAATGTAAAACAAGCAGATGTGTTTGTTACAAAGCCCAATTGGCATATAACAGCTGCCATCACTACAGTCTCCATTATGAAATACTATTTTTTCTGCAAAGTGCTCTATCTTTCCATCCAGTTTAAAAAGCAATAAAGGACATAGTTTTACACGTTGCTTTTTAGTTAAGAATTCCAAGTAAGTGAGGAGTTGATTGTTTTCATGTAATGACAATTCCAATATGCAGTTACAAAATTACCAGATTGTAACACAGCAAACATTTGTGTACGAAAATCAGACTTTTTTTTTTAAAGCCTCTATCCCAAATCTAACTCTGCTGCTTTATGATTAATACTTGTGTTTATATATATATATATACACATACACATATTTGAGTGTAACCACATGCATATGGTATTACAATTTTTTGTCTCCTGGATTTTTGTATACTGTCTTTTCAAAGTTAAAACGAGAGCTTATTTTTAAAGGAAAGCTGGCGTGCTCGTATTTCCCATGGCTCCAGCGTCTGATGCTTTATGAGAAAGTACTACCAGGGGCAGCAGCTGGAGGTGACCGTGCTGCGCTAGCGGGGGGCGACGCTCACTTGGGGCAGCAGGAGAGCCGCCAAGAGGCTGCTCCGACGGGAAGGGCAGTGGCTGCTTTCCTGGCATCCTGCTCCGTCCTTCCCCCTGGCAGCCCGCGAGAGGCAGGTGGAGGAGCCGCGGGGTGGGCGAAACCCCACGGGGCTCAGCAAAGCTGCACGGGGAGGGGGGGTGTGGGGGGAACGCGGAGACGGCTTCAGGGCCAGGTTTTCCCGCGGGGGAGGGGGGGAGCTGGCGTCACGGCGAGGCGTGGCGTGGGGTGGCGTGGCGTGGCGTGGGCCGGCGCGCTGCCGAGCCAGGCCGGGCGGGCGGCCCCGGCGGAGCTGCGGCGCGGGCGGCGGGGCGCGGATTGGGCCGGGCCGGATCAGACAAGGGCGGCGCGGCGGCGATTGGCCCTGCCGGGGTCAGGAGCTGAGGCTGTCGTCAACATACGGCCGCCACGCTCCGGCGGCCGTGGGTGACCGGCAGTAACCCTCAGGGAAACTCAGCCTACTTCGTTGTTGTTGCCTTTTTTTTTTCTTTTTTTTTTTTTCTCCCTCTCTTCCCTCTCCCTCCCCCTTTTTGTGCACCGTCAGCCGGTTGCGGCTCTGCCGTGGCGGGCGGCCCAGCCAATGGCCGGGGGGGGGTGTGCGTGGCAGGTCCCCGCTCGCCCTCGCCAGCCGAGCGAGGGGCACCGCAAGACGCGGCCTCTCGGGCCAAAGCCGCTTTTATGCCAGCGACTCCTTCGAGCCCGAGCAGGCGGGGCTCGGCTCCCTTATGTAACCCAGCACCGCGGGAGGTGGGAGGTTGCGGCGGGTTTGGCATCGCTAGCGTGGGGTACAGCCTGTGCGAACCCCGCTCTTTTGGAGTACGTGCCGGCTCCCACAGCCCTGCTGCTGGCCACGGCAGCCACGCACCGGAGCGCTGCCCACCGGGGCAGGGTGGCTGCCGGGCTCCCCAGGAGAAGGGGTCCCTCTGGGACAGCTTGGGCTGGGCATTAAGCAAGTGCCACCCACTCCGTCCCTCTGGCACGTGGTGCCATCTCCTCCACGTGCTCTCCTAAGACTTTGTTCTCTTCCCCCTCCGCCCCCCCTTCCCCCCGGCTCCCCAGGAGGTCCCCACAGCCTTCCTGGGGCCCTGGCCCCTCTTGAAGGGAGGGTCAGCAGCCGCTGCTGCTTTCTCGCTGTGGTGGAAGCCCACGGCTCGGCGCAGAGCCGGCATCCAGCCCTGCTGCTGGGCAACTCCCGGTGGGACCGCTGCCCTCCCTAGGGCACCCTCCCTGGTCCTGCTCTCAGGGTCCTGGGCTGGGTACACTGGGCTCCTGCCTGAGTCCCAGCTCTGGGGAGGGGGTTGCACCTGGAACCTGGTGCCCCCCCCCCTCCCCTCCCCCGAGGACCACACTGGCATCTGCTGCATGTTGTGTCCCGAGCAAGAAGATGCAGCGAACCCTCCACCTGGGTGCTGACAGCCTGCAGCGCCAGCCGCAGCCCTCCCTGCGCTCCCCCGGCTGGGTCTGAACAAGCGGGCACTTGTTTGCCTGGCCTCTCCTACCCAGCAGAGCTGCCTGGCGCGTTAACCCTTCCCTCCCCTTCCCTGGTGGGTGAGAGATCTTCAGAGAAGCAAAGTTGCGGCGCATTGGAATTGCAACCCAAATTTACAGGTTACGTAGGAAACGGGAAATAATAATCGTGTGAAACACTTCCAGACAATGAACTCAAAATGCTGAGCTGGCACTGCTGAAGGGCTTGATAGTATAGGAAAACATATTTTGAGCAGGGGACTTAATAACAGGCTTTAACGAAGAGGGAGAGGCCGAGATCTGAATTCTACTCTCATGAAATCCAGACAGAGGGATCATTAACTTTATTTTTAGGCTTGGCTGAATAATTGGGAGGTTTGAAAATTTGGCTTCTATTTCACTTGTTTTAGGAGGGTCTGAGCTGCCATAGCTGGGATCAAAAGCACACTGGATTATCGGAAGCAGCACCTCTCTGTCACTTCCAGGGACATACTTTGTGACTAGCTGATGAGCCAGAACATTTAGTTTACTTCTTGACACAGCTCACATTGCCTGGGATGGTCACACATCTCCAGATGGGAGAACACTGCTGCTGGAAGAGCCTGGACCTCTCTCCCAAATAACCCTCTTCTACGTCCCTTGCTCCTGTGTTCTTCCCCACACCCCGGTTTGCAGCGTTCTGGCTCTGGCCTTCCCACCCGAAAGGGCTTTGCAGCAGCAGCACCTGCAGCTGGAAACTAAAGACTGGGACAGTCTTGCCGAGGAATTCAGCATGCTGGCTGCAAGGGGCCGGCAGCACCAGCAAGCATGGGCTAAATTGGGGGTCCCCTGGGGCTGCAGGTGATAAAGTTGCTGCAAACAAGGCCATCCCCTTTTCCGGCTCCTGCATGGAGCAAGATGGTACCATGCAGAGATAGCCTTATTTGCTGCTAGGATCTGCTGTTCAAAAGGCAGCTGTGTGGGGGAGTGGGGAAGCTAACATCAATTAAAGTGAGATTTGGCCTGGGGATTTCCCCCTTCTCCTTTCACTTCCCTCCAGCTGCCAAATGGGTGGGGAGACTGAGATGCTCACTCTTGCAAGAGGAAAATTCCCCCTCGCTGAGGTTAATGAACCCGCCTGACGCAGTGGCCGCCGTGCCTGGCCGGGGAGACCGGCTGCCGGTATTACGTGTTATGCTGCATGTATCTCCGTCAGCCGCAGGGCTCTGGCAAGAGGCCCTGGCTGGAATTAACCTGCAGTAACCCCACGGCCCAGGGGCAGCCTTGGCGTGCCTGCCTGGGCTTCGCTGGAGTATGAAAGCCATTATAATCCGCTCATTCATGGCGCTTAAAGAGCCAGGTTTTTTTGTTGTTGTTTTTTTTTTTTTCTTTTCCCCCCCCTGGTTCTCCTGGAAGGGAGGAAGGTTTGGAAATGGTAATGCATAGCATTCTCCATTCTGATGGGGCATCTCGTGCTTTACCAAACCCAGCTCACCATGTCATCACTCCAACAAGTTTTAAAGTAACTTTTTTATTATGAACAAAGAAAATTTCAGATCAGCACAACCAGATATCTGTTTCCATATTAGTAGAAATTATTTCAAAAAGGTTTGTTGTTTTTTTTTTTTCCCAGTACACAAAACAGATATACTACTATGCAGAAGTCCCTAAGCTGTGAAAAATCATATCCGACTCACATTTCAACAGTGACAGATCTTAGACAATGTGCAGATTCAACTTTCCAATCCTTCCCTGAACACCCAACACTTAGACATCTGCTCTTCACAATACCAATGGGGCCGGGAACGGTCTTGGAAAAGAAACCAGTCCATGCTTCTGCCAGCAGCAGTGTGCGTGTGGTGCATACACCTTCCTCCTCTGCGCTCAGCCAGTCAGCGGCGAGCCTCACCATACCCCTGCGAGGCAGGGCATAACCCTCTGTTACAGATAAGGAAACTGAGGCACAGAGAGTTTTTAAGTGATTTTGTCCCAAATCACACAATGAGTAGCTAAGCTGGGAACGAGTCCCAGGAGAACCACTGCTCTAGCCACAAGGTCCCACTGCTGCCTTCTCTGCTCCCTCCTCTCAGACTCATTCAAGGCTAAACATACAGACGACGCGTCCAGGATATAAACATGCCACCAAAAATATATATATATATATATATATATTTATAGGGGGTGTGTGTGTGTATATATATATATATATATCAAACAAAGTTCTACTTAAACTGTTGTATCTGTTTCTTAATCTAACAAAAATTCTAACTCAAATACATTCAAAAATCACCTGCACCCACAGTTCAATGAAGGCAATTAAATAATTAAGAAACCCCTCGAATGTTCATAATTCAGCCAAAAAAAAACCCCAAAAACAAAACATCAAATAGCTGTCAATACTCCTACGTATATTAAAGAAAGATTTAAGGCACCCAGAGATATTTGCCAATCTGCCTTTAAAGTGACTGGGCAAACACCAGGACTGTTTGGTTACTGCTCCTCAGCTTTCACCCTAATTCCAGATTCTGGACCCAAATCAGCAGTTGAAATCTGAAAAGAACTCTTGATGTCAAACCCTGCTTCTCTGATGAGAGAATGTGAAATATTGCAGCATGTCACGGCACATTTCTCTACCGTAGGGCATGTCACACAACACCTTAAGGGCACCAGGAGCAAGGAAATCATTCTCACCTTCTCCCCTCCTCACACCCCTTTAAAATTACTGGTTGGAGCAAATCCATCCTCTCTGGAGACTTCTGTAACTTCAGAGAGGTTTAGACTAGAGCAAAGTCAGCCCACAATTACAGAGCTAACAAAGTTTCTCTTTTGGGGGAGGGCTTTTTCTTTTTTTTCTTTTTTTTTTTTTTTTTTTTAAATGGTAGGATACAATTCTAGTCACAACCTTCTTTGCCCCAGCCAGCCCCCAGGCAGTCATGAGCCTCAGAGCAGTAGGGATGCCGTCTCCTGACACCAGGAGCTGAAGAGCTCCCTGCTTCCTTCCTCCTTGTTGTACCTCTCGGCTGGAGACCACATTGCTCCTGGTGTCTCAAAACCTCAAAGGGTCCCATTGCTGAGCAATAGCAAGGCCATGGTGGTGGCAGGGAGGGAAAATGAGAGGAGAAGGACTTCTTTTCTGAGTAACAAGCATGTCCTTGTTAAGGAGAATATCACAGAGCTGTCCTGGCTCCTGGCGAGTTTCACAGCAGCAGGAGAAAGCAAAGCTGCAGAGTCTTGTTCCCATGAAGCTTGCCTGGCTGCTACATGACAGAGCTGAGGCGAGGAAGTTGGCATCCACCTTGTCTCTGCCCTCCCTGGCCTGCCTGAGTAAGGAGGACACTGCAAATCCCACCCCAACATCACCTTGTTCCGGCCACCTTTTGTGCTTTCCTCCAGCTCCATGTGATGAATTTAAGCAACAACAAAAAAATACTATTTCTACAAGTAATAGTAATAATAAAAATTATTAATGATGGGGAGTGTTAAGGGGGAAAAAAAGCATGGTCAGCCCAGTGAGGGGCTCAAGGCCGTGACGCCCAGAACCTAACCCACCACCTGAACTCAAGCTGCAGTCTCTGCAGCTTGCAGGAAACAACACCCACAAGGACTTTTTTCCCCAGAACACCCCCCAGCTACGTGCCACATCAGCTTGGTGATATAACTGACCTTTCCACAGGCTCAGCCACCCTTGCTGCCAGCAAAGCAGTGAGGTGACGAGATGGCTTGCCGAGGGGGCTGGGAGGCAAGTTAAGGGACTAACAAGTTGCTTTCGCCTCGCCACTCCCTCAGAGGAGCAGGGAATGGCAAGCCACCCCAGTGGACCCTGGGCAGGAAAGCCCAGACACTGGTGGCAGTGACTTGCCTCAGAGGTCTAGACTCCCTCAAGCTCCCTGTGCTGCCTGGTCCTGCGTTGGTGTTTCACAGGCACTTGGTAATCAACCGAGCAGAGCCTCTGAGGATGGAGAGACCTGCTCCTGCAGACACCCTCACCCCTTCCTATGCCTGCAGGCACTCCCTTGCCCCATCCCTCTGCTCAGTGCAGGAAGTGGATCCACAGGGTAGGCATGGACACCAGGACATCTCCCTGCCACCCAGTGGGGACCCTGTTCCTCCAGCACGTAAAGCAGCTTAACTAGCTTAACTCAGAGGTGGAGCTTTGGTTTACATCCTTCTCCCCCTCTCTGTTTTGGCAAAGTCCTGTTCGCTGGCAAAATTCTCAGCGGTGGTGGCAAACAAAACCACCCCAGGCAGGTGCTGCACCATGGCCACCAGTGGCACACCTCTCCATCTGTCCCGCTCTTCGCCATGGGTCTCCAAAGGGGCCATGGAGCCTGGAGCCAGGCTCTGCCTTGAGTCTCTGGTGGCACAGGGCACAGCAGGCAGTGCAGGGAGGAAAGTCTGTGATGCCAGAGGGAGGAGGTAAAGGCCACCAAAGCTCCCACTCTAGTGCCTGCTGCTGCCACCAAACCCTCCCTGGCCACTGGTGGACCTGGATAAAGCTCTGAGAGAGTCTGGAGGCTTTACTCTCCCCAGCCAGAGAGGCTGTGCAGTGGGGAGAACGCTTCCCAAGAGACATCTTGGAAAGAGAGAACTTTCTGATGGCAAGGGAAGGGGATGGGGCTGCTTTTCCTGGGGAGAGCAGTTCAGCCATGTCATGTTTGTCAGCAGCCCTTGAGAAAGGAGGAGGGACAGAGGAAGGAATTTTGGGGGGGAAGGTGGTGGGAAGAGAGGGTCACTGACTTTGGCTCAACTCTTCAGCTGGCTGGTACAGGCTTCCCTTAACTCTGTAGTACATAGCCAGCTGCAGTGAGCCTCCCCAGGCTGCTTCCTACCAGCTCCTCTTCCAGGGAGACACTGGGGTACATAAAGCAGGAGACAGGGTAGAGAGGCTGGAGAGAAGAATGGAAAGGAAAAGGAGAGGAGGGAGAGGGGTGGCCTTGTGTTATAAAGGCAGAATGCTAGATCTTAAATACATCATGTAAAATACAGCGTGGGAGGGGGGTTAAAACTCATTATCTTAAGCAAATTGGTAGCATTATTCAGTAGTTAGTAAACAGAACATTAAATCTTTGTCCAGCGTGTTTGGAGGGGTCAGGAAGGGAGAAAGGGAGAAAAAGAGGAAGGAGGGGTGTGGGTGTGTGTGTGAAAGGGAGCAAGAACTCAGCCACTCTTGTGACTCCCATCTCCAGTCCGCATTTTCCGAGCCAGGATGACCTCCTTGGAGACTCTCTTTCGATCGCTGGCCAGCCCCAGAAGGCACATGAGGTCGATAAAGGCTGTGGTTGCATTGAAGCGCCATCCAAACTCACTGGTGGAATAGTCATAGGGGAAGGTGTGGTGGTAGTTGTGGAAGCCTTCTCCTGCAAAACACAACCAGAGAGAGGATGTTGCAGAGCTCTAGGTGAAGGCCCCATTATCATGGCCCAAAGCACCACATTCCTGAAACAGGCTCTGAATTGAATCTCCTCTCAACCCAATTTCACTTCTCTACAATCTACCCCATCTCATTTGGGCATGGTCCAGCATGTCCAGGCTGGCCCAAATGAAGCAATGACAGTCACAGAGGACCTATGTTGCTTTAGAGGAAAAAAAGCATGTGGCGAGGAACTGAGAAAGGCCCTGGCTCACTGACTGCACCATAACACCAGGGGAATCTTAATGGCTTTTCCTCTGCCACCACAAGAAACCTTCTAGTATTGGTTGAGCTACCAGCTAGACCTGCACCAAGTCCCCAGCAAGGCAGGCCAATCAATACTCCTACAGCATTGGCAGTCCTAATGCCAATTCCAAAGGGCATTTCCAAATAGGAATAACGCATACAGACTTCTACTACTAAGTGATCCACCCCAGTCAGCCACCCTCTGCTCCAGACACCGTCAATGCTGGCTTCAGTGCTCGCTCCTTCAATAACATCACCTGGACTCCTGCTCCCACCCTCCTGAATCTCTGCAGTTCAAATCCCCCCCCCCCCACTACAAATCCATGAGCAGCTCCTTTGGTGGTGGAAATCAGTGGATCCCCAGTGACGCACAGTGATGCCAACCAGCTGACCCTGAGACATACTTCCCTAGGTCTCAAAAATTTCAGGAAAACACATGAAGTGATCTGGCTTGTCTCATCTTCAAGTATCCCTAAAATCACCAGCTGCCCTGAGAACATGTCCAAATGTGCATCTGCTGGTTTTCAACTTGACAAATATAAGACAGATAAGCCGAGACTACAGCACCCGTTTTTTCAGTCTGGTGAATGGTTCAGAGAGAGCTTTGAGCAGGGTAAATAAAATATTGCTATTGAGATAAGGAGGTGTTAAGTGTAGCAGAGTCCTTTCCAGCCTGGAGAGAGGCTGGTGGGAGCTGATAACCCCATTGACCTTATGTACTCACTGGCTAGCCTAGGAAACTCCCCTAGATGCAAAGGCTAGAGGGAAAGGGTGCAGGGGGGAAATGGGGACACCTGGGTTCACAGAAATGCCTATAAGCAACTGCAGCCCCAAGGGGCTGTCACTGCTCTACAGTCTACCTGCAGCAAAAGACACAGATGCTGAACATACCTAAGGCTCCCAGGCTGACCAGGGGGTTCTCCCGTGGGTTGATGTGCTGATCATATGGCCGGTTGCCAAACATGTGAGCAGCACTGTTCACCAACCAAGTGGCATTGAGCCCTATGGTGTACCGCAGGATGGTTGGAATGAAGAAGCTGATGATTATGGATTCATCCCAGAAGTACCAAGGCACTACAGTAGGCAGCGTGAAGCATAGCAACACCACCGAGGGTTTGTAGTATCTGGAAAAGAAGGGACCAAGAAGAAAGTGCTCAGTGGCAGAAGCAGGACAGGAAGCATTGGTTCACTCCTCCCTTTGGAGGATTCACACTCAGCTTTACAGGGAAAATCAAATGCAGAAATACCACACCCCTGGGTGCTGCATCTTTTGCCCTGGATGTGCAAAGCCATGCCTGGAGACTCCCAAGTCTTATCACTGGGCAGAAGACTCGAGCTGAAGTCCTGCTCTCCCTGTCTTAATCTCACATGTGCACAAAGCAATGTCCCCATCACCATGAGTCCAGACACCAGCTGCTGCTTTTGGCCTCATCTGCCATTTGCTTCTCAGCTATGTTGGTCCTCATGACAATCCCATGTTTGCAGAATCCCATACAAGGTCCTTCTCTGGCTATGGCCCAGAGTTGCAACTCCTCCTTGGAGACTTGGCCCTGCCTACCAATACACCCCACCAACAAGTGCAAGCAACAGACACTTGCGCCATCAGATGAACATATGGGGTCTCTTACACTAGAAAGATGGGAGTAGAGGAAGCTGAACCATTCTGATGACCCACAAGGAGAATCCCAGGCACAAAAAATCAGACAATGGTTTGTCTGGGACTGAAAAAGGGACCTCCTGAGTGAGGGTGGTTACTATATGGGTTCAGTCCCCCATCCCTGAAGCCCTGATGACAGGCTCTCCTCCTCTGGGGATCTGTCCCAGTATAGGCCCAGACAGCTGAGAGATACCCCATCCAAGAGGCACCAGTGAATCAAGACTGTCCTTCCCAATTACTGCCTCTCTCATGTGCCCCTTTTCAATCCCTCTTTCACCACACTGTTTCCAGAAGACTAATGAGAGAGAGGCAGAGGCATGGCCTAGAAGGTGTGCCACATCTCCAAGGATGGCCTGGAGGCACCTGTGGTTGGGCTCTGAACCAGCCAAAGGAGCAGCTGGGCTGTGGGCAGGCAGGTGTGGAGGTGCTTTGTGGTGGGAAGCTCAGCCCACTGCTGGCAAGATGCTACAGGATAGGCAGGCAAGAAAGGGGTGTGGGAGGTTTGGAGGTATCACTAGCTTCTAAATATTTCCTATAGGAGATGCACAGCTCATTACTCATAGTTCATCCCACAGCAAAGCCTTGGGCAGACCGAAGACTCGCATTTCTCACATGATGCCCTCAATCCCCTCATACTCCATCAAAGGCACTTGGCATCCCCAGACCATTGGCAGGGTCCCTGCTCCATCCCACATGGCTCTGCACTGGGGCTGACCCCACCACTCACCTCCGCTGGAACATCACTACTTTGTCAGCCTTTATGTCGCTCAGGTCCAGCTTCTGACCCTTCTCTATGACGTCTGGGTGCTTGCGCACCAGCAGCCAGCCGATGTGAGAGAAGAAGAAGCCCCGCATGGCATTGTGTGGGTCCGCATCTGTCTCAGAGAACTTGTGATGGACGCGGTGGTCCCGGACCCACTCGTAGATGTCATTCTGCAAGGCAACAGGAGTGGAAACTTAGGACCAGGGCTGGAGATGTTTCCTTCAAATTAACAAAAGGGCCTAAAGCATGGGGGTTGGAACTAGATGATCTTTAAAGTCCCCTCCAACCCAAACCATTCTATGATTCTATGATTTAGACACCTAAATCCCATCGACCTGAACTTGTATTAGTCATTTTATCTTTCCTTAGGGTTTGGGTTTTTTGGCTTTTAAAACAAAGGCTGGCTCTTCTTTGCTCAACCACTTCAATTATCTTTGAAATCTGCTTCTTTGGTGGGCTGTCTTTTCTCTTGTTTTTTTAACTGGCTAACTTTAGGCATAGGTTTGCACATCTTCTACAGCATCACAGGCCCTGATTGGTCAGCCTGTTCCCCCACCCCTGCAATAGCCAGCCCTCATTGGCTAGTCAGTGCCTCCTCCCTCACATTCTCAACTCTTGTTGGTCACTTGTCCCCATCTCTACGCTGTGCCAGCTGGGATTGATCAACCTGCCCCTTCCCTTCACCCTGACATTTTCCATGGGTCAACCTGCTTTGCTTTTCCTAGGATTGCCAAATCAGATCTGTAACTAGGGGCAAGGTTTTTTAACTCCCCCCCACACACACACTGAAAATCAAACAGTCTTAAAATTAAGGCCCCTCTTTAGAAATAGAATAAACACATCATTTCAATGACAGTTATCAAAAATACCTCCCTCCATCCCCATAACCATTCCATTTAAGCTGCAAAATCAATACAGTTTGGAAAGTGTCAAAACTTTTATCATTTATATTAAGAAATTATTGTTTGGTCAGTTTTAAGAATAGATTTTATTGACCCTGTGCTCATTCCTTTATACCAAGATTTTGATGTGCTTAAAGCCATGTGTTATACCACTCTAGAAATCAGAGATCCAAGCACGCCTCTAATGCCTCTATTACTCAGGAGGCTCCTGAATCTCCTAAATACATAGGATTTTTCTTCTAAACACTTTGAAGGTAGGAAAGTGACACAATCATCCCTATTTCTTGCCTGGGAAGACCAAGTGACTTATCTACACAGGGAGCCTCTAGCAGAGACACAACTCCTCAAGTCCCTCTCAAGTGCTGTAATCACTCCTTCAATTGAGATAAATGATTTATCTGCAGGCCATGCAATAAGGCAATGATAGACATGGGCCAGGATTCAACTCTCACTTGTTACCAAATACCGGAAACTGCTGCCTTCTTTCCAGCCAAATCCTGAGCACCTCCAAGTATCATCAACCCACACTGATGTTAGCCAGAGCTTGGACCACTCAGAATTCCCCCCGAAGAAGGTGGCCCAGCAGCCTTCCCTATCTAGTAAGCAGAGAAACACAACCAGTACCCATGCTGGAAATGTTTCACCTGTGACTCAAAGTGTCTTTCACATTCCAGACCCTACACCGCATCACGCGACATAAGAAAACCCAGGCTGAAAGCTGATGGCCAGCCTGGGTGTGCATGTCTGGGGAGGCTTTGTCCGTCTCCTGAAATCCTTCTGCTGGAGGCATGAGGCACAAATTCAGAAAGAGACCATGCACCGATGGAGTGTGGTACCACCTCATTCACCACATCCTGTGCAAAAACACAAATCAGGGGTCTCAAAGCTGAAAAGTCAGTATTTTGACCCAAACTTTAGCACATCATCTTTTCTACAGATCCTATTTTGGGACCACCTCTAATTGCAACCCTGTCTGAAAATCATGGCTTTCTGAGACCAGCAAGCAAAGCCTAGAAGAATGCCTCCGTCCTTGGGAGTTTCCAGCTACAGGCTATAACCAGGAAAGCTACTGCTGTGCTGCAGCTGCCTGATCTTGCAAGTGGAGGAACCAGCTAGGGGCAGAATCCCCAAATTCTCTGAAATCACAAGCCACAGGTCTCTGAGCAGCCAACAGGCATTTTCTGGAGGGCCTCAGATAAGATAATCTATGGTCTTCTCTGGCTTTAAAAGTTACCAGTTTTGTCTTAGAGCTGATGCCACTAACAGGAATGAGATAAAGTGAAAATAAATCTTCTCTTGATTTCATTGAAATTAACTATTAAAAAAAAATTCTACGGGGAATGGTACTGAATTTTCAGTAAAACTTTGGATTAGTTCCTATTGAAGCTGAAATATCTGTCTGTCTCTCATCTTTGTCTATTCCTATCCCCTACAGCAATAGCTCAGCAAATTCTTTCCCCTCCTGCCCTATAACCCTGTGAAAGATGGTCTTTGTGCGGGACTAGCCAATACACAGCAACCCATCCCATTCCCTTGCTGAGTGCCGGACCAGTAGCTGGAATCAGCAGCTTGGTCTTTCCTCTTTCTCCTGAAAGAGAGGAGGTACTAACAGAGAATAGGAAAGTCAGTGGTGTTGTCAGTGGAGAGACAGCTTTTCAAGGCTAAAAAAAAACCAAAACAAAACAAAACAAACATCCCCACCTTTTTCTGATTACATGTTAATGAAGTGATATCCACAGGGGAGAACAGAAGATAAATGTCTGTAAAATAACTGGTCCACCTTGGGCTTTACCCTTCCCCCATACCTCAGCTGGAGAATTACTTCGGGGCACAGCACTGGTACTTTTCTGTTCACCTTCGAGCAGAAAGTTCTGCACCCTGCCACCTTCATGAGTACTTCCTATACACAAGCAAGCCTGTATGAAGTCCCTTCAAGTACAGTTCCAGGACAAAGTGCCATTAAAGCTGCCTCACAGCAGCAAACCTGAGAGACCACCAGGATTTTTCTATGCCATGTCAATCTGGGTTTTCACTCTGACTTCTTCTAAAGGGCCATCTCTGCTACTTTCTACAGTCTCTAAGCCCTAAGGCCTTCCTGGTTTGTTTGCTTTATGGACTGTGAAGTGCTCTCCTGAGTGGTTAGGCAACATCCTGAAGTGCTTATCAGCTGCCTGAAGTTGCTTGTGCCACTCTGAATGGGCCTAACCCTTTTCTCCTTGAAACATCACTGGCCTGGGATGACTCTTTGGAAGCCAGTAATGTGACTTATAACAGAGTTATTCCTAAATATCACTCTTCCAAACCAGAGAAGCATCCCCCTAACTGCATAATCTCAACAAGTTCTTGAGCTTTCTGCAGGAGAAAATTCCAGCCTGGCTTTCTGGGCTATGCCAGGTATCTCCCCCCCTTAACAGCCATGCAGCAAAGAGGAGGGTGAGGCAACACCAGGAGAGCACTTAGCATTTCTACACCTCTTTCACAGGACCTGGAGCAAGCACAGGGAGACCACACTTGGAGTGAAGGATACATTCCTGCTTTAGAGAGCTTTCCTACCCCTGGTCTTGGCCAATAGTCCTCTCCCCACCTGGTTGTCTGAGTCACTCTCCGACAGGGCAAGGTGAAGACAATGAGATGGAATTAGCACTGCAGTGTTAGATAGAAAGGGCAGGTTGTTTCCTAACAAGAAGTAGTAGGAGAGAGAAACCTCTCCATCAGCTGGTGCCCCATACCTGAGACACAGATTCAGGGGAGCACTTCCTTCTGAGGACCAGTGGCACATTGAGGAGGTGCTTACCTGGAAGGCCACGGAGTTTGCAATAGTCAAGAAGATCCGCAAGGGCAGCGTGGCTTTGTAGGACCGATGGCTCCAGAGACGGTGAGATCCAGCTGTTATTCCCAGAGCACTCACCAGGAAACACAGAACGGCTGGAAAGAAAAAGAAAGTATTGGAGCAGTTAAGAGCAAGTCAGCCTGCAGCAAAACTTCAGGCAGAGCAACACAAAGGCAAGCCTTCCCTCAAAGCTGTGCAAGCAAGAGAGGAACCCATGGAGAGCACAGATTGGGGCAATAAAAATCAATGTGAGAATGCCCAAGCTACCACGGGCTTCCTAAGCAATGCAGGGCAAATCACTTCAGCTCTTCATCTCTGACAAGGGAGGAGGTTCCTCCTTACAAGACTTGTCACAAGGGTTGATTATTCAGCACAGTGCCATCTGTCATTGTGCAGGATGGTCAAAATTGTATAAAGCGACTGCTTCCATATAATCCTATGGTAACAACTCTGCAGTCTACTAGGCAACAGCTTCCCCTTTCCCTCCCATCCCAAATAATCAAGGGTCTTGCTTTCCTATCTCACCACTCCTCACTAAATCTCTTTTGCATTATTTTCACCTAGAGGTTGTAGATGGTCTTACAGTTCTTCAGGGGGAAAGCTCAAGCCCAGAGTTAGGCTTCTCTTCTGAGCAGAAGTTGGTTAGAAAAAGATTTAACCTACCATACCTCTGAAGCCTGGGATTCACCTTCAGCTCTACCACTAATTTAAAATCTGCCCACATGGTCCTTTTTGCAGGGTCTTTTTGATCCCCACCCCTCTGCTCAGCTCCTGCTCCATTTACTCCAAGGAAAGATACTCCAAGGCTAATAACTCATTGCAAATCGTGCCCGGCCCAGTTGAGCTTTGAGGCTGCTTCATGTGTTCCCTCTCCACAGGTCAGAAGGAATTACTTGTCCCTCTGGCAACTAGTGAAAAAGCAGATCCCTCTCCCTTGGGATCATGTGCTTATGTCTGCCCTGGTCTGTATGTTCCCACATGTCGTCCTGGGACCTCTGGAATTTAACCTGGCTTCCAGCATCTGGTCCTAGAACTAAAATGGAGAAGAGACCCCACTAGCGTTACACTAGGAAGCTAGGGATATGAAGAAAACTGGGTCTGAAAATTAACTTTCTCTGGAAAGGAAGGCTCAAGAAGTTTAGCAGAAAGACAGACTACATTCAACAGTTGGTTTACCCTGCAAACTCAGACATTGAGAGTGAAGGGTGCACATCTGTGCATAGGTCAACTAATCCACCTTCAGTCCCCTGGGGGAAGGAATGCCTTCTTACCAGTCCCCCAGGGTAAACTCTTTCCCTGGTATAAATTTGCAGATTTCAGCCAATTGGATCAATCATGAAAACAGCTCCTTATTCTTACACATAAACTGACAATACTATTCAGTCCAGCCAAATGGCTCTAATCAAGCTTAACTTGAACACAGAAACAGATACTCTGCAAGAAATTTGCTTGGAATCAGAGATCTGAGACATGCGCAAGGCACTGTCGCCCTGTTCTTTCATTCAAAATAATCCAGGCTTTATTTCCTACCATCTCTGGTTCCCTCTTCCTTCTGTCACCTTCTTTTTGCTTTTCTAGATTCCAAACCTAATCTCTTATCCACTAAAAGCTGGTCTCGGCTGATTTAACATCCTCTTCTGTCCCTTTAAATTTGCATGAACCTTCCTCACTCCCATCCCGCTGTGTAACAGTGATCTTCCCTGTCTGCTGATCTGACCATGACATTCCATCTTCATCTTCTCCCTTGGCTTCCCTGCTTGCTGCCAAACGCAGTGCAAGCCTCAGACCAACACAACTCCCAGCAACTCTGTGGTCCCTCGTAGGAGTCAAGCAGTCACTGGTCATAGTTGATTTACAGGGCATGAAGAGCAATGAAAGTGCATGCAAATGCAGCAGGATCTAGCCTCTGCAAGACACAATGGAGCTGAGAAAAGCTCACAAAGCTAGCCAAGCCTGCAAGGGGTGAAGGGAGGGATGCTGGAGCAGGGCATTTGGTTCTGATCTTTCTTTGACCTTATTGACAGGAAAGTACTTATGCTGGACACCTTGAAGGTCTCACCTAGCCCCATGATGCTGACTTGAAAGTTATGAACCAGTGAATGACCAGTTCCCCATTGGTTTTAGACTTTAAGACTCATTTTAAATCAGTCACTATCCCCACAGAGTCATACTGAAGAGCAAACCTTGAAAAAGTACCTAACATATGACTGATTTACAGAACCTCTCTGGCCTCAGACACTGCAATAACAACGAAACCCACTTCTGGATGTTTTAGACACTTCCTACAAGCAGCAGAAGTGTGACTCACCACCATTTTCTCTTGAACATAAGCAACTGTACCCTGCAAACTGCATTTCATAAAACTTCTGGGAAACTTTATACCTATGATGCACACCTCAGTAGCTGTGGTAGATTTCCAAGGGTGACAAGCAGATTGTGGCAGAGCTGAGAGCAGCATCCAGGAGTCTGGATTTCACCTCCAACCTATACAGACTCTATGAAAAACACTAGACAGGGAGTCCATGATAAACAACACCAGCTTACAATGGATGCATGGGGCAACTTGCTAGAGAAAAATCCCAGCTCTCCACTGCAGAGCAAGTAGTCATGAGTTAATGGTACACTGAGGACAGAAGTGAGCTATGTGATCTTTCATGATCTTCAATAGCACTAGAAAGTAAATGCCAGGTTAGGTGAGCATAGACCCTACTTATAGCCCTTAGTTCAGGCCACCCTCTCCAGTGAATCACAAGCTGACTTGGAATTTTTTGGTAAAAAGGGTCTCCAGGAAGATGACTCTGGCTGAGGATTGTGGTATTTAAACTTCGCAAGAAGGAAGCTCATCTGTATCTCTTACATACAGGCAATTCTCAGAATTCATGGGTATCTCACTCGGGAAAAGATGACACCAGCAACAAAGCCATTTCAGCAAGCACAAGGAATCACAAAAGAGACATGGTGGGGGCACCAACAGACCCCAGTACTTGCTGTCAGGTAGCTTTGCCTGAAAGCTTTTGTTAAAAACTGGGAAGAGTACCCACTACTTTTGGGTGCCCTGGCATAGAACAATCATGGCATTCATCCAAAGCCCATGAAGCTCAGCAGCTCACGTTGACTTTTCTTGGAGCTGCGTCCCAGGTCACTACAATGGCCACAACTCTCTAATTATAATCCCATGCTTCCTTGCCTCTTGCCCATACACAACAGCCGTAGTTTACCTAAGAAGCAGATACTTTCTGTGGGAAACGAGCTGATTCTCAGTCTATGCATATATGGCACCCAGCCCCACAGAAACCCAAGCCCTACTTGGGGACTATTAGCTCCATCAGTCATACCTAAGAGTTGTTGTGACAGTGACAGGGTATGGACAATAAGATTGAAAAGCCTGGTAGAAAACAAAAGAATCCAGCACCCTAATGATTCAGAGGGTTCATCTCTGCAAACAGATACAATGATGACCATTGCATAGCCAGGGAATAAGCATCTCACACAGAAGAAGAAAAACTCCTCAAGAAAATCCACTAGAAATGTAACTGGGAAGAGAATAGAGAAGATGAAATAAAGTAGTGCAGATTTTCATAGCTGCCCCATGATGCTGCCCCCAACCAAAGGACTTTGAAACCTCAGGCGATGGAGTGCCTAAGTCATTTTTCACATCATGCTTTGAAGTATCCAAAATCCAAAAGATTGTCAACTCACAGGTGATTTTCCAAATGACCCATTCAACTGGAATACAGATAATTATGACCACTGACAGTAATATGCACTCAGCACTCCAAAAATTAAACCAAAAACATTACAGATTCAGTCATGTCTATATGACTTGCTAGCCTTTACCTCTTCAGGGCCCAGATTCAGACCTCAAGTTATGAAGGGAAGCCAGGAATGTGCTAAAGGCATTGTCACCTGCAGTCAACACCAAGGATGTTTACATTAAGAGGTGTCCTTGTTCCAGGAGGTGTCCTTGGGATTCTGCTGAGTGCAAAGGAAAACTACAGCTCTGGACTGTTCCCTCCTTCCCTCCCAGTCCTGCTAGCCAGCTGGGTCATGCTACTCTCAGGAGAAAGATACCAAGAGCAAGGAAATGTGTAGGCTGGATAAAGGGAACAGTGTTTAAGAGGAGCAATAGGAGCTACTGTTGCTATAACCTACTTTCCCTATATGGCAAAATCAGAAACTCCCCTCCATGCTCAGAGGAGAAGCTCACCACCTGCTAGTTAAGCCTGGAGAGGATACTAAGTAGAGAGGTGTTGCCAGCAGTCGCCTTGATGGGAAAGTAACAAAAAACTTCTGTAAATGTTTTGCTGGACACACCTCTTGCGGGTAGTACTGGCTAAAATTTTCAGGCTATCGAGAGTTGCCTAAATTATCAAGCAAGATGCTCCTTGATCCAAAGATGATACAGCAACAACAAAAAATGGCATCAACCCATGTTTTTGCCACCACTGGCACTGCAGGGACCTGGGATGTTGTTACAGCACCATGTCAAGAGAAACCATCACTGTTTTATAGACATTGTTGGCCAGGCCCACGGGGGTTAACAGAAATACCATCAGTCTGCTGTACCCGAGAGCCAGGAAGACAACCTGCAAATCATGCTTCCAGGGAGGCTCAGAGCAGTTAGAGAAGAAACTGCTGTCAATCACCTTTGCATCCTGCCCTTTTAGACTCAGTCTATGCTGTTCGGCAAATGCCATGAAATCTGTCCCGTGGTCCCTGAAAAGACTGAGCAAGACTTTGTCAAGTTCAGTGGAGAAGACAGTAAATAAAAAGGGAGCTAGCTAGAAAGCCATAGAGCTGGAAGGGCTCGGAAAGCTCTTGTTATGGTGAGATCTCACCTGATCAACAACCCAGCTCGTTCTGGGAAGCTCTGTACCAGAAAAAGATCAGGGGATACAATGCACACAGCAACACAGAACAGCAAACAATGATGAAGGCAAGGCTGGAGAGTTTGAGAGACAAAGAGGAATTAGCACACAGAGAAATGAAAACAAAAGAGGACACAGTCACCAGTATAACTGGTTTCAGATGGACAGGAACATCAAGGAGTTGGTGGCCTGGGTGAAGAGGGTATAAGCAGAGGATTGCTCCTTATAATAAAATATAGAAGGTACATCAGCTACCAGGCACCACAGCTGTTTGTAGCATCACAGCAGAGAACATCTGGGGCCATGTTAATTTTATATTATATGTACACAGCCTAGGGAAAGGATGATCTGAAAAACAAAGAAACAAATGAAAACCCTAACAGCTCCAGAACTACCACTGGGAGAACTGCTCTGCCATGAGCCCATGGTATATTGCTGGGAGCAATGCATGTCTATGCTGCTTTTCTACTCATGCGTGTAAAATGAGAACTGTAGTCCTCTCCTTACTACCAGGGGGTGCTGGAAAAATAACGGCAAGTCACTGAGATGTCCGCCATAGATGCCCTGTATGTGCTAAAGAACAGTGTGAACTGAGAAAAGGGCAGTGCAAAAAGGAGAAAGGAGCCTTGCTGAGAAGCCAGATCTGTGGAGGGTCAGAGTATCCCAGCTCTGGTCAGCACTGGAGAAGAATGGACTATAGGGGAAAGCTCTGACTTGGCTGCAGGGTGCAGGGAAGGGTGGTCCTTTCCCAGAACAAGTGCCAGGGATGCAGGACAGGGAGCTCTGTGGAGCTACTCCAGCTTTGGTAAGGCAAGATGGATCTTCAGCCAGTCCAGAACAGTGCAGTGCCCCCAAACTCCATGTCCTTCTTCCATTCCCAGGGCATCTGTCACTCCAGAAGCCACCAAGGAATCTCGCAGTGCCTCACAGTGGCAGGAGAGCAACTGGCACTTCACATCAGAGTTGACTGAGGGAGAAGAGCAAGAGGGACTGGCATCATGTAAAAAGCAAGGCAAGTTCCCACAAAATGCCATGGGGTGCCATACAGACATCCCGAACAGGCACATGGTTGCAAAGACACTGCCTCAGAAATCATTTTGGGCTAAGGTAGGGCTTAGCAGAATGCAAAGCAGCATTAACCTTCTGGACCAAGATACTCGAGCCCACTTAAGTATCTTGGGAGAGCTCAAGGGAGAAGGGTTGGATGGATTTGGAAATCACAGGGCATCTCAGCAGCTTGAAATGAAACCAATAAACAGGACTCACCTTTTCCCTCCTCCTTGAAGCAATACCCTGAAGATATTTGGCTGGGGTTGGAAGACCCAGGCTTCAGTTGAGCGAGATAAGCCAGCAACCCCTTCCTAGCCTCCAGCTGAGAGCCTGGGGATGCAACATGCAAGGCAGGACCAAGAGCCCTGAAATGCTCCTCCAAGGTCATGCTGAGGCTGCATGTTCTGCCACACTGGGGAAAAGTGCAGCCTGCCAGGTTTTCACAAGGGAAAGGCCCAGCAAAGTCTTCTTTCATAATGCCCCCACAGAAGGCCATGCTGGCTGCACAGGGAACACATCAGTGCCTCTGCTTTTGCAGATGCTGTAGTCAGCCTCTGACAAAGTCCCATGGCCTCCAGTGATGCTCATTCCCCAGCTCTCTACCTGTGAGAAGCTGAGATGGTCCAGGAGGAAGAGTCAGTCTGGACATCCAGGGAGCCATCTCTCCCAGTCCAGCTGTGATGCTTGTTGCTCATAGCCATCAGGAGGACAGACTTTGAGATCATGACAGACCAGGTGGATCACTCCAGGGCCTGTCCACAGCTGGGCTGGCCAGAATGCTGCTCCCAGCTGAGCACTTTGCAGGAGCACCACTGAAACCTAAAGCCATGCCAGCAGATCTCAAATAAGACTGTTGCTTTTCATTTGAGGATGCTCTGTTTCACAGTAAGTCAGGGACTGGATGCAACCTCTTGACTTCCCCCCTGGGAGCTGTTTGGCTTCTTGACTCCTCCAGGGGTCCACACAAAGGCTTGTGGAAAGCAAGGCTCCCCTGCAGCTTGGGCCTTGGGCCCAGCTGCCTTTCAAGCAGTCAAAGGAGAAGTCTGGTTCCTACCCAGAGCAAGGTCTCTGAGAAAGGGGAGCTTCGCCTAGCTACCTTCTGCTGGGTTGTGCTTTTCACTGGAATTTGCTGCCTGGAGAGCTGCTTATTTATTTTTTGAAAGTTGTCAGGCTCAGTTCCGGAATGATGGGGGCTAATCCATGCTTTTGTAAGAATGATAAAAGACCTGAGCTTTAGACTTAACTTTTTACTTTTATCTTCAGCACAACTGTATTTTGTCTCTTTCCCCTCACACACACGGAGGCTTTGTGGGATTTATCCTCCTGTAAGGACAAGAATGGTTCTTGTCTTTGGGCAGCAGCCTCATGCCAAATAATGCCTTGTACCTTGCCTCCCCAGCCACCCCTTAAAGTGCTCTTGCTAGCATCTTTCTTCCTAACTTTCTTGGCTGTCACAGTACTCCATCAAACATTCTCTGTGCTCCACCCCAGAAGTGGCTGCACATTCAGGTGTGGGCTACTTCCAAGCCTAATGCCTGTGAACCAAGATTGTTCTTTAAGCAGCCAAACAGTCCCCTGCCAAATCCTTCCCTCTCATGTGTGACCTTGTAAGAGACACTAGCAAGCCCTCCCACAGCTTGCTATGAAGCTGGCTGAGTAGCTTCTTCTAACAGAAGACCTCCACTTCCTTTATTCTCCTCCCCATATCTGTGGGCCTGGAGGAAAAAAAAAATACCACCCAACAGATGTGGGGTTTGTAGATGCCAAGAAACAAATGTAGGAACATGCTTACCCCATGCCAATGTCTGGATCTTTGCAGAAGGTATCAGCGTCAACCCAATTATGGCCCCCAGATGCAGCAGGCTCATGAGGATGATATTCCTCCAGACATATCGTACGGGGGGCTTGGGGCCTTCTTTCTCCCGGTAGGTCTCATCGAAGATATCATCTATCATGCCCCGGTCTCCTGCCAAGTCCTCATGATTGAGTAAATCCTTCTTCATGACGGGATCCCCATTCTTGGTCACCCAGGAGGTGACGGTGCCAATAGTACTGGTGCTGGAAGCGGAGGAGAACTCCTTGAAGAGGCGTCAATGGACATTTTCAATAAAGGAAAAAGGGAAAACAAAACAATAAGTTGGTGGTTACCAGTGCAGGGAATAGAAACACAAGCAGCTAGGCTGGCAGTACCAAAACTTGCAGCCTACAGTTTCTCTGGCAGGCTCCATTCTTTCAGCTGAGCCCTTGGCACCAGGAAGAGCCTGTTCTGGCCCCATGAAGTTGTGGCCTGAGAGGGAGGGGGCCTGATCTTTCTGGGGAGAAGAAGTGAATAGTAGACAGGGTGCAGAAAGTAAAGAAAAAGCATTGAAAGCCAGTCTTTTTTCTACCAGTGGCTTTAGGGAGATCATTTGCAGGCTGCAAGAATTTTCATTTTCCTTCAGTTTTATTAGTGGGTGTTTTTAGGTGGGCTTGTTGTGGTCTGGGCTTGTACATAAGCAGACAACAATAAAGCAAATCTTGTGAATGAACAAAGAGGTGGGAGAAAAATATGGTCTGAAATGGTTTATTATAAATTATTGGGCTGCTCCTGATATCCTGACTCTTTGTGTCACCTCACCAGTGATCACTGGGCGAACATCAGGAAAATCCACAAAGGGATTCCTCTGGGGTGTCTCCTTATCTCCCCCTCCCTCACCTTCCAGGCTGGGACATGGCAGGACCAACATGCTTGGAGATCAGTGGATGGAAGCATTCAAGCAATGTACTTCCAGTTAGACCTACAGCAGCAGACCATGCCTGCTGCTAAGCCTCTTACCCCTCTCCTGCCTTCCACCCACAGGCAAACTGAGGCACAGGGAGACAATCCTCTGAGCCAAGGCCACCAGCACACAGAGAGGAAGTTTTAAGCAGCAAGTTGGCTCAGGCTGGCTCCCAGCTCACTCCTGTAACTGTGACACAACATTGCCTCGGCACACGCTTGTTTGTCCTGGCTGAGTGACAGCCTGCCCAATCAGGCATGCATGACGAAAGGACCAGGCAGGACTGACCCTAATGAGACAGGTCACTGAACCCTGAATCACTGATTTCTATCTCCATCATGACAGCCACGTGCTTGCTGGTCCTCACAGCCCTTTGTTATGCCCAAACCCAAGTGTCCAATGGCGCTTGACCCTGGGGGTGCCAAGCACTTGGGATTCGAGCGGTGGGAGGGCACGCTGTCCCCATCCCCTTGCCTCCCAGGAATCTGTCCCTCCACTGCCCGCACCACTGCCTCCACGTGCGAAGGGGCAATAAAGATCAGTGAGTAGGAACAGGAGAGCCAGGACCATGGGAGGGAGCACGGTCAAGCTGAGAAAGCTCCTTTCCCAATAGAAATCTTTCCTGAACTAACAGCAGATTTTCATCCAGGCACCCAAGATTCATAAAAGACCACCATCCTGCCATGGCCTAGTTTCCCGAGGGAGGCATTAAAATCAGGCCAGGCAGCTTACGTGGCCAGCCCAACTCCTCCCTTTCCCAAGGGTAGAAACTAGAGTGTTACAGACATACCTTCCTACAGGGAGGAGCTGGTAAAGCTGACAGATTCCCCACATTTGGGAAGTAAAATGATCTCTACAAAGGGAGCCCTCTAAGTTTTTCCTTCTGGAATCAAAGGTTAGAAAGGAAAAAAACCTGGACCTGAAGTATCCTGCTGCTTTCTCCGAACCCAGGCAGCTGCTGAGCTGGGGGATCGGCTCCTTCTGCATCCTGGCTGTAGGCTGTCTCTGACTGCTTTCCTAATTAATGTTTTGAGGGAATGATACTCTGAGCTGCTAGAGATTCTAGAGGCAATTCCCCCCAAAAAGAGCCATGAGAAAAGTCTTCTAATCCAGAGATTAGGCAAGGAAAAGTCCTGCCCATTTCAAAGTGTCAGATACTCTCATCTGGCATTTTGGCAGGAAGATGCAATTTTCTTCCTTGGCTGGAAAACAATCTACCAAAAAGTCTTAAGGCTTGCCTATGCAGGAAAAATTCCCAGCAGAGATCTGGTGGTATAATTCGATGGGTAACACTCCCCATATGGACATGCTGCTTTCAGGGTTAAGAATGAGGGGTTGGAGTTGCATTTTTCTCCTCTGTGATAGCTTAAGTCATTGTCAAAGTTAGACAGGGAAAGAGGAGGAGGAGGGAGAGCACAAATAAAACAGAAGAGAGGAAAAAACCTCTCCTTCCAGGGTCATAGCAGCCACACGAGGAAATTTACCAGCATACCTATGCTGCTGGAATTACACTCATATAATCAAACTAGTAATTTCTCATGTGTAAACTATCCTTACATCAAAATGGCTATAAAGCAGCTGTGAAACACAGCTCCACAATTACAGACTTGGTAGGGGGAGCATAGGGGGAAGAAGGAGGGAGAGTGGGCAGCTATTTAGCTAGAGACTGGAGAAATGAGGAAAGAAAGAGGATTTTTAACTCACTATGGCCATAGTGGCTCCTGCGACTCCGACAGAAGAAAATAGGATGGAGATTGATCTGAGGTCTAGAATGAGAGGGGGAGGAGGCCAGCTAAATAATTTTAATGAGTTCTCCCTCATTTATGAATGACTTTGCAGCTCTCATCTGCAGAACAGATGTGTTCTCCATCTCCAACCCACCCCACTCACCCTACCAGCGCTGAACACGCCATAGGTGATCCTGGCACCCTGACAGCTTATACAACCAAATGCAGCTCAAAGGCTCCTGCGCTGGGCTCAGCCCAGGAGCCCCAGGGCATTGAATCTCCGGTCCAGTATATTTGAATATGCCCAGTGTGACCCAGGGACAGGATTCTTTCCAGCCTCCAGGATATGCCCCAAAATACATGCCAAGAGTGTGAAACAACGTCTGAACACATTGCCTTTGGCATCTGTTTTGGGTGGGGAGAGGATTAAAGTTCTTTACATCACAGCATCCCTAGAAGGTCACAGCACCTGCACAAAAGGATGGGGGAAGATCCCGTGGGCTGGCAACAGCAAGAGAGCGGAGCTATGATTTACCTCCACTCATCTGCATAGGCAGAAGGGGGAAGGATGTGGAGGCTTGAGCAGGAATACCAGAATCAAGCCCCAGCCTCCCCTCAGGCAAAGGGTGGGCAAAAATAAAAAATAAAATCTCTAATGTTCCAAAAGCTCTACGTATCTTCCTGGTGTCAGGTTGTTATTTAGACTTTCTTATGCCAAAAATGGGCAGTCTCCCCATCGTATGTTTGCTTGGCTCAGGGAATGCAGACACAGTCATTCATTTCATCTGGGCAGCTGACCGCTTTCACCTTGTCTGTCCAAGAGACACTCCCTGCTGCAACATTAGGTTTAAGAATGATGCAAGTGAAAACCCTTTCTTACTAAAAAAAAAAAAAAAAAAAAAAAAAAAAAGTTAAGAAAATTTAAAAATCATAGTCTAATCGTTACCAAAAATCCCACAACCTCTTGGCAAAAAGACCTTTCTGAGCAGTCCCTACCAGCATGTTTAGATGGATGTTTTCAAGATAAACCTGCATTTTATGCTTGGTCTATCCGAGAGCATAAACTCCACGGGGAGATAATGCCAGTGGTGGAGATCCCTGCTTCAAACCCATGAAGTTTGGGTGATGTCTTAAGTTAGCACCGAATGACTTCGCCTCCTGACTAAGAAGTAGCACGAAGGGGACACAAGCACATACATATGTGTGTGTATACGTGTGGTGTGCGTGCACAGACACGCGTGGATGCCCAGACCTTTCTACCCAAGACAGCAGCAGCTCAGCACTGCCGCAGCCGCGGAAATGAAGGAGGAAGGGGCGAGAGGAAGACAAAGCACCCGCATCCCCGGGCCCGCCGGCAGCCCCCCGCTTACCTCCTCCTGTAGCAAGTGCGCAGGCATGGGGCAGCCCTAACTCTGCTCCTCGGCGGCGGTACGCGGGCGCGCAGGTCCCCGGCGGTGGCGGGAGGAGGCCGGTTCTTGTCAGACCCTCGCCCGGCGAGCTGTGCGGTTGGGGTGGCGGGCGCGGAGGTATTTAAGCGGGGCTGCTTGCTTGGCGGCTGACGGGGCTGGGCTCCCTGAGCCCCAGCCTCCCGGTGACGCCCTGCCCGCGGTTGAGATGCGCGGGGTCAGCGCGGCGGGCGGCGAGTCGCGGCGGGGGCCCGGCTCTCGGCGTGCCCGGGAGGGGAGGGGAGGCGGGGCAGGGCGGGCCGGGGGGCGGGAGGGAGGATGCTGAGGAAGAAGGGGATGACGAGAGCCAGGCTCTCTCATGATGCCTGGCTGCTTTTTTTTTTTTCTTTTTTCTTTTCCTCTTTTTTTTTTTTTTTTTTTTTCCTCCCCCTCTCGAGCCGATTGGCTGCGGGAAATTTGGTGCCACCTCGGCCTGCCCTCGCCATTGGCTGCCCGCAATCTGCTGTTCGCTCCCCGCGGCGCGCAGCCTGCGCGCCCGGCTCCGCGCACGCCGCGGGGAGCGCGGCCCGGCCGGAGGACTGCGCGGGGGGTGCTGCCGGCCCCCGCGGGGCACCGCAGCCCGCCCTCCTCCGCCGCGGGGGCTGCCCCCAGTGAAATAAGAGGCGCCCGAGGGGTGGCGGGGAGCGGCGGAGGAGCTCGGTGCCCCTTCCCCAGCTAGCTGAGGAGTGCGGCCGGGAAAGAAGGGGCTTCAGGGTAAAACGTAGCCTGTATAGGGGATCTGCACCGGGAGCTTTCTATATAGATGTAAGTGTACATATAAATCGTGCATCTCTGCAAAGAAAAGCACACCCACAGCTGTATATCCAGATAAGCATGTCTCTGTGTAGGTGTTTATCTCGATACACAAAACCAGTCTGGAAAATGTTTGCTGTAATGTTTTTAAAAGAAAAGTGGCCATTTTCTCCCAGAAAACAGTCCCTTTTGGTGGAGAGCAGAAGGAAAAAGGAGCAGCTCAGTTTGCTATCAGCTATTTTCCATAACAATCTCCTCGCTAGCCAGTAATTCCAGCAACAGGAAAATCCAAGCTCTATCCCAAGAAGACTGTCACTATTAAAAGTCAACAAGAAGGCCCTTACAAATAAAACCTTGCCTGTGGCAGAACCTGGAGGCACCTCTTCTAACCCCACCGCATGGTCACTGTGCCAGGCACCCCCAGCTGTTCAGCACAAGGCTTGAAGTGCCCTAGTGCCATCACCCCGGCCAGGTTTCAGCTCTTTCCCCCACTCACAGTGTGCCCCATGTTCAATCTCTGTCCCTCGCTAACACAGGAGTCATTCTGGGAGTGGAACAGGGATGTCAAAAGCCATTTTGAAGTGTGCCCATATCCCCTGACATATATCCTGCCTGGGCAACTGTCCCACAGTGATGGAACTGACCACAGAAGGTGCAAACACAACCAGGATCTTGCAGAGTCCGTCCCCAGGCTGATCCTGCTCAGACATAGCAGGGCTGATTCAGTGGCAGCTGTCAAAAGTGAGCTGCATTGTAATCACTGGGAAGGAAAAGTGATAATGAAAAATAACAGTAGCCCAGTTGTTCTCTGTATTTAGAGGTGTCCAGCAAGGGGGGAAAAGTATGTTTCTCCTTTTTCATTTCACTGTGAGGGATGAAGAGGTCTGAGAGTAGTCTGCGCTTGTTTCACGTTAGGAACCCGAGTCTTGACTATCTGAGACAGTATTACAACAGAGAGCCCATGTCAAAAGATCTTCCTAGATCGTGAAAGCTGACATGAGTCAGAGAGGGACTTTTAAGTGTCCATTTTAAGACTCTTTGTTGAATGTTTCGTTAAGAACACTGAAGGTTACTGAACACTTCGGAGAAATGGTATTTTAATTAAAGACTCTGCCTACTTTCTATGTGAGTGTTGGAAAAGCTGTAAACTGTGCTAAAAACTACCCTAAGGAAATCCTACTCCTGCTGTTTCCAAAAGAAAATCAGAAAGGAAATAAATTAAAAAAAAAAAAAAAAAAAAAAGAGAAGGTACTTGTTGATTTTAAAAAAATAGTCTGCAGCTTATGGGAACACATGGGGAAAATAATCTTAATGCCACAAACCAGGGGGAGACGTAGCAATGCTACTGATGGTTGACAATGAGGCTTTTGGGGATTCAAGGTTTGCAGTTTTACAGATAATCAGGCCCACCAGAGCCCTTTCATTTCCCACCAGTTTCTTTACTCAGATATGGAGTGTGGCTAAGAGGGAACATACAGGGCAGCTAGACTTTGTCATCCTCTAAAATTAACGCCATGTCTGGCTGCTCCCACACAACAGGAATAAGTTTTCTGAATATTCCCCAGCCAACTTATCCTGGGAGGTGACCATCACATTTTTTTCTTGCACAGAGGGAGAGATGGACATTGACCATCACTGGGGCTGTGCTCACCTGGCAGGTTTCAAGTCTTAAATGCTAAGGACAGCCCTGAGGAAGGCCCTTCACAGCATGGCCAGCTTCTCCAGCTGGCATTTTGATCACTTTTGAAACAGGTTAATGTTCCTGAATGTGGCCATGAGGTTCAGGCATTGACATCTTGGCGAGGTGCGCAGGGTAGTTTGCTTTCCCAATGTTTAGATTGCAGCAGCTCCAGCCTTGCCTGTCAAAAGGCTTTTTGGCACTTTGTGGTCTGGATGCTTGGCCATGTCATGCCAGCCAGGCTCCCTCCTGTGAAGAGCTGCTGGCAGGGGTGATGGCAGCACCCTGCACACCCCTGACCCCTACCAACAGGCCCTGCCCACCTGAGTCTCTGCTGCAGATTCCTGTCTCAGCTCTGCTGCTCAAGGCTTGAGACAAAAGGGGGGATCAATGGGCAGCCCACTTGGGAAACAATAGATGTCTAAAATAGACACAGCAATACAGCTTAAACTGGGATTTTCCTGCTCTAGTTTGTATCTCTCCAGACAGGCTTTTCCCTCCTTCCAGGGAAAGCTGCCCACCTGAGCCTTCAGCAGAAGTATGTCACTGGTGGAGTTCACAGACACTGCTTAGCAAAGATTTGGCTTCAGCCATTGTCCTCAAGAAACTGATTCGATTCTTTTACATCTGGTGACTGCTGCCTGAGGTCGTGGTCTTTCATAAATGAGCTGATGCAATGACAGGGCCATGGCACAGGGCAATGATGAGCAGAGCCATGCCACAGGCCATGAACTTCAGCACAGGGTTTCTTTAGAAATACATGGTCTAATGTAAGGCTGTTTCCAGCTTCCCAAGAAGTCCTCCCCAAAGATTCATGACCCAGCTGAGGCACTGTGCTAGTGAAAAGCTCTTGCAGAGAACTTTTTGTCAGTGTCTCAAAGATTTTTCTCAAGGTTAGGGAAAAGAGAGGCAGAAGCCAGCACTGGGGTTTATCACAAGACACTATCTGTGAGCAGAGCCTATATAAGAAAGAACAGTGGCATCCCTCTCCTGGGATGAAATAACCAACCTGGGTTTGTTACCACAGTGCCAGGGTGCAGAAGAAAAGCATCAAGGCTAAGCTAAGGATGTTTCACCAAAACATTTTCCTTTCTACTTTCCCCTCAAAAAAACCCCACAAAAACTTATTGCTTTTCCATTTAGCAGTAAGTGTTACAAGAAGATTTCATCTGGTGTTGACATCCTGGAAATTTTAGTGAATCTCCTCAGATACCCCCTCCAAAAATGTTGAAAAAGCCACACACCCAAAAAAGCTTGCTGCAAGGGCTTTGCAAGATTTGTTTCATGTTATTTTTTAATCTCCTCTAACAGCATTCCCTGTCTCCCCCTTTTTCTTCTATTTCACAACTGAAAGTTGAAAAAAAGAAGGAAGACTCAAATAAGAGGGAATGAGCTGAAAACTAGGGAAAAAGCTGACCACTACCCCTTCCCCTCTGCCAAAAATAAAGGTTTGCAAAAATTCTTCGACAATTATTTTCTGCATCTCTTGAGTTGTTTTTCTGAAGAAGAATGAAGTTTTAGACCTTTTTCTAGGGATAGGAGAATCATGCTATGGGCCTTGCATCCAAGTGCAGGCGTGGTTTTCTGTCATTTCATCTATCCTCCTTTCTTCCTTCTCCTTCCCTTCTTAAAGAATCTGCCCTTCAAAGGCATCAATTCCTCTGTGCTGAGCAGATGAACACCACTGTGGTTCACCACTGCTGCCAGCAGTTTCAGATGTTAATGGTCCTCCTGGTTTTGACAGAGTTGACTTCTGGGCACAGAAATAAGGTGGTGGCCCACGGCTACAGAATGAGTTGAGACAAGACCTGGCTCAGACCACAGAAGTTCAGAGTTAATGCCTACTTGAAAGATAAGGTGATGGCAGCTGCAGGTCTTTCAGGATTATCAGTCACAGGATTTCAGATGCCAGCTTGTGGGGTTGCCACCCTTGTTTAATGTTCCCCTCCATGCTTTCTTTTGGAATCTGGTGACCCTGTGTTATATTTTCACATACTCTTCCTCGGTCAGGAGAAGTAGCAAATGGCTTTCCTTTTTGAAATGGAAAGCTATTACTCTTGTGTAGTAACCTGGCTTCAGAAACTGTGTCTTGAGGACTCTGATATCATGGCATTTACCAAAAGTGAGACTTATATTTACAAGAACTGGCATAATCTTACTTGCATGCTATCTATCATGTTTTCCCCCCCTCCTTAAAACATCATCTGTTGCTCCATAAATTCAGTGGTTCCCATAGACTCCTGAAAATCCCCTGCTCCATCCTAACACTTGAAGTATGGCTAAATTCAGTATGGGTTACCTGGGCTCTTCAGTTAACAGCTGCTATTGGGAGCTCCCAGAAGAGCAGCAGTGGCCAAACCCTCAGCTGCCTTCCCACAACTGCCTGGGGAAGGGACAGTGCTAAGAGAAGAAGCTGTTGCTCTCTTTGCCACCCCACTGCCACTGAGTGGGAAGTGTGGGTTTAGACAGAGGTGATAATGTAGCAGATACCATGAGTGTCCCATATCCAGGGTCAGAAGGGAAAGCAGATGTAACAGGGGTGACTGGCTATGTCTCCAGGCTGTGACCGGGATGGCTAAATTGCCTGCCATTGGTGCAGTGATCTTATCAGCACCGAGAATTAGGCTGACAACATGCTGATGACTGGGATAGGGTGCTTATCTCTGCACTTTGCCCCTTCCCTTGCTGCATGACTCAGTGCTGGACCCCCTGTCCATCCTCCTCCCCTCCTGTTACCCCAAACAGGCTTTGCTCCCAGTCCTTGGGCTGCCAGCAGCAAGAACCCAGCCGGTATTGTCTCAACAAGGCCATACAAT